AATTATATCTGATTTTGGGGGTGGACCCCAGCCAATCCTATTCTTAAAACTTTTCAAATGATTCCATTTGGGTTGAGAACCATTGGTTCAATGTTTCTACGTAGCATTTACTAAAGACGCAATGGTCAGTCAGGAGAGATTTGCTTGTCTTTGGAATAATTGTAACTAGGGATTGAATTCAGGGGCACTCAACCACTGAGCCACATCCCCTGCCCTCTTTTGTATTTTATTTGGAGACAGGGTCTCACTGACTTGTTTAGCATCTCGCTGGTACTGAGGCTGGCTTTAAATTCGTGATTCTCCTGTCTCAGCCTCCTGAGCTGCTATGATTACAGGTGGGCGCCACCGCGCCCTGATGCAGCAAATGTTCTGAAGGAAGTTCACCCCATCTATTTTAATTACAAATCTTTAGAGTTGTCTGTATTTTCTAATTTTAAATTCTCTGCAGTTTTCTAAAATATGCTTCTATCAGACTTCTGCCTCCCATTACCAAACTGTTCTCAAGAGGTCACCAGTCACTTATACTAACTCCACCGTCAAGTCTTGGTTCTCAAATCATCTACCAGTTCTTGGATACTGTGTCCTTGAGATACCTTCTTCAGTTGGTTTCTGAACCAGTAGAGCTTTAGTGATAATGGATATTCTTTGTGCTACTCAAATCAGTAGCTGCTAGCTAGATGAAGGAAGCTAATATGCTGAGGAACTGAATTTTAAACTTTATATTTATTTAAATAGTCATACGTGGCAAGTATTAAATGGTTCAGTTCTAGCCACTTTTGAATTCTTCCTTATACTTGCTTCTGATTTCTTGGCTGGTTCCTTCTAAACATTGATGTATCCCAGTTCTCTTTTTTATACTTACTCCTTTGGTCATTTTATTTAACCTATCTTTCCCTAACCTTCTCTAGGTTGACTTATACTTCCTCTTTGACAAATATTTGGATGGAAAATGTGTTTTATTTGACTGTGAAGGGGTTGCTTTTTTATGTGAAATTGTATTCTTTGCCCTGAATTTACATGACAGAGTATTAAACTGTTAATGTGGCTGATCTGTGCTTATTAAGTTCAAAGCATGAGTTTTTAAGTTAAAAGTTATTAGCCAGGTGTGGTGTCACAGGTGTTTTCCTGTGTAATCCCAGGGACTTGGAAGACTGAATCAGGAGTATTACAAGTTGGAGGCCAGCCTGGGAAACTTAGCAAGACCTTGTCCCAAAATAAGAGCTTGGGGTAAGGATTTTGGAGATCAAACCCCAGTATTGAAAAAAAAAAAAAACTCACATTTTTTTTCTACATATGTATAGGGAAAAAAATTATATATATATATATATATATATTAGCAGAGAACAGAAAGGCATAAAAGGAAAACTATACCTCTCTCCTTTAACTCCTATATTCTCTTCCCAGTGGCAGTTGGATTATATCTTTTGTTTAAAATATTTAGCCATAACCCCAGCCTGGATTATATCTTTTCAGATATCATAAGCATGTCAATCTTACATTTTCCAGTAGTTTGGCATTCTACAGATTTCTGTTTCTTACTAGTTTTCATTTAACAGAGATTGATCCTTAATGGCATATAGTTCTACTCATATCTTGATCCTTTTAATGACTGCACAATATGGTTGTACTATCATTTCTTTACTTTTATTTAACTAGTCTTCTGCTGATGAACAATGTCAACTTGACTTTCCTCAAAGAGCTTATACCAATCTACACTCTCCCCACTTTTTCATTCCTAGTTCTTTTTTTTTTTTTTTTGGTTTTTGAGATAGGGTCTCGCTAAGTCCTTAGGGCCTCCCTAAATTGCTGAGGTTGGTCTTGAATTTGAGATCTGCCTGCCTCAGTCTCCTTGTCACTGGGATTACAGGTATATCCCCACACCTTTTCTAGCTCAACATTTCATCAGAAGAATTTAGCTTTCAGTCTTAGAAGTAAAAAATGGTATTATATTGTAGTTTTAATTTTCATTTCTTTGAAATGACATTTTTTCACTTAAAAATCTATGTGGATTTCTTTTCCTGTGTCCATTTCCTTTGCCTGTTTCTGCTGTGCTTTCCTGACAGGTACATAAGAGATATACTTTACCCCTCTTTATATTCTCACCTTATTAAAAGAATGTTTAGGGGCTGGGGATGTGGCTCAAGCGGTAGCGCACTTGCCTGGCATGCGTGTGGCCTGGGTTCGATCCTCAGCACCACATACAAAACAAAGATGTTGTGTCTGCTGATAACTAATAAATAAATAAATAAATATTTTTTAAAAAAAGAATGTTTAGGAGGAATTTTATTATTTACTTTTATGGTTTCTGGATTTTTAAAATCTTAGGAAATTTTTCCTCATTCTAAAACTATAAAAGCTATTATTCTATTATTATTTTTATGGACTTTTTTATACAAAAAATCTTAATATTTATCTGAATTTTTTTTTTTCTGTAGTACTAGGGATTGAACTAGGGGGCTTTCTACCACTGTGCTATGTTCCCAGCCCTTTTTTTTTAATTGAGACAGGGTCTCCACTAATTAGCCCAGGCTGGCCTTGAACTTGTGATCCTCCTGTCTCACAGCCTCCCCACTTACTGGCCTGAAACTTCTTATGTTCTAAGGAGTGAGGGAAAAAAAACCAATTTCTCCACAAAAATTAACCAATTTGTTTCTTTTCTCATTTGTTAAAATAAAACTGAGTTTTTGCCAGTACAGTGGCCATGCCTATAAATCCTTGGGACTCAATGGTAGAGCACCCCTGGATTCAATCCCCAGCACTGTCAAAAAAAAAAAAAAGTTTTATTATAACATCCCCCAATTTCTCCAATAGAGAATATTACATTCTACTTTATTATTTAAATATCCAAGAAAAAATTACCATATAATGATCATACTGCAATTAATTTCCCAAAACACTTTATCTGTAAGTATCACCAGTCCTGATACAAAAAAGGTCAGGTTTTCAAGATGTCTTTTTATAAATCTTACTGCAATATATTATATTTAAGGAATAATAAAGATCAATAGAATAAGAGCAAGCAATGAAAGGGGAGGAGAATGAAGCTTACTAAATTATGTTATGTGCAATGTATCTTTTTTTTTTTGGGGGGGGTACTAGGGACTGAGCCCAGGGATGTTTAACCACTGAGTCACATCCCTAGCTCTTTTATTTTACTTTGAGACAGGGTTGTGCTAAGTTGCTTAGGGCCTTGCAAAGTTGTTGAGACTAGCTTTGAACTTGTGGCCCTCCAGCCTCATCCTCCCAAGCTGCTGGTTGTGGTGTGCGCCACCACATCCAGCTAATGGGCCCATTTAAAAAAATAGAAGGAAGACCAATAGAGGAAGAGGACTGGGGGAGAAGAGGGAAGGTAAACAGGAAGAACTGAGGATTAAAACAGAGCTATGTTATATGCATTTATGAATATCAAAATGAACACCACTATAATGTATGACTATAATGCACTAATTTAAAAAAAACAATAGTGATAAAAAAAGAAATGACATTCTACACTTACATAGACTGAACAATTCCACTGACAAATAGTTATGTCTTTAATAGGCTAAATAGGGACTAGATAAAAGTACTATATAACAAACAGAATCACACCTCTAAATGAAAACAAACTATATTTCCTTTTCAAGTACAGGACCTTAGCTGGGTATGGTGGTGCACAGCTGTAATCTGAGCAGTTCAAGGCCAGCCTGGGTAACTAAGCAAAAACCTTGTCTCAAAATAAAAAATAAAAAAGCCCCTGAAAGAGGCACTGGATTCAATACCCAGTATGGATAGATAAATAGTCCTTCCCAAGGAAAAGTAAAAAACAATCCTCTGGAGGAAATTAACTAAAAACTGAAACCTGATGGATGAGAAAAGCAAAACAAAAGTCATAGCCTGGGAGGGAGGGGATGCATTAATTTACTTCCATACTTTTTCCCCCCAAATAAATTTTTCTTCCCAGGTAATTAAAAAAAAAGGGGGGGTATAATTAATGTTATAATGCTATCTATAGCCAAGCAACCACAACCTATTATAAAAGAATGAAGGTTCCTGGCTACAGAATTCTATTCCTTAAAATAAATATTGCTTAAGCCTTGCTTTTAGAAAAGACCTTTTGCAAACACTCGATATTTAGAAAATTATCTACGTGTAGTGTCAAGTATATTTAGGAAGGACTATTTTCTTGTATAAAAGTAAAATTGGAGTTGTTCTGCTTGCCCCTGGTTAATGTTTGTACCATTAGAAGGCGACAGATTAGAAAATTAGGGCATTTCCTCTACACAAGTCCTTTAAACATCCTTTTGGTCAAACACATGGCTCACTTATGAAGAAAAAAGTATTAGAATTAGAATCAGTATTACAACTAATTAAAAGATCAAAACTATAACCAAGAACTTTAAAACCCTGGACCACAGCACAAATGCTGTTTTGAAGTTTCTTCATAAACACTAAATGAAGGAGGAAACAAAAAGTTCAGCTATCAGTTTATCCATATAATATCAACTATGTTTTTTCTTTAGGGACCATAAATGGTAGTATTAAGATGTAGTATTATAATAAATCAGTTGAATATTAGAAATATTATCATAAATTAAATAAGATAATTTCTGACCATTTATAACCTTTTCTAGTGGCACTGTTTTGATTACATTAAGAGTACTTAGTGGAAGGCTAATGTTCCAAGTAAAATATTTTAATGATATGAAGTGTATAAAAATTGAGTGTTTTTAATAGCATGTACTGTTAGGCTACAGCTTTCAGAATATGCAACTGGGGAAGTACAATGATAATATCATTTAAATTAACTGATAATAAAAGTGATTCATGAAATATGATTAATAATTTAATATTTTATCATCTTAAAACAAAAATCTAACCAAATGCAACCCAGTTTTGCCATTGATTAGCTCTGTAAACAGAGGCAAATAACTATTTTGAGAGTTCAGTTTACCTCTAAAATAAGTCATATTATTTGTAAGGTTATTTCCAATTCTAAAATTCTATGACTATTTGTATTTCATTAGGTACGTGCTACTTGATTTCTTTGCATTTTAGCTATCTAAAGTAATCAGGAAAAATGGACAGTAAATTAAAAATGCTTTTATTCCACTGATAAGCAGAAACACACACACACATATATATTTTAGGAATATATATATTTTAAAGTTTCAACATTTCTTTGTTAAGTAAAGCCAAAGTATGGCTACAAGTGGAGAGGAAATAGGTAAGTTACAGTCAACAAAACTGGTTTACTTAGGTCTTATATTTGTACTTGTACATATACCATATTATAGCACAAAAACATCCCCCATCTTGTATCTCGAGCTTCCAGATAAGTCAGATGATTAATTCACCCTGAGTGGGATCATCTCTGGCTGTCTATATAAGGGCTATATAGATGGGGAATTCAACATTTCCTTAGTACTACTCTCAATGTCCTTCTTTCAAAGGTGTAGACATCACACAATTTAAACTCAATGGCTATTTTAAGAACAAAACAATGATGAAAAATTCAGTTGCCATGTTGGAGGAATTTATACATTCTTAAGTATTCTATTTATTTTCTATGGCTTGGAATTTCTCACCCAAGAAAACAGACTTCATTCCTAAACATTTATTATATCTTTCTCTGCTAGAAACAGAAGCAAGTTTTCTCTCTGACAAACTTGTCACAGGGGAACAAATTAAATGTTTTCCCAAAATGGAGCATAAGTCTTCCTTAATATCATTGTATCATAACTACGATGTAGCAGCAGTCTTTAAAATTTCATAAGTTATAGCTAAGAAGGCAGTTTTGGCCGTTTTGCAGATGGTCCATCTGAGTTAGTTCTTTTATCAATGTTATTTTCATCTTCTGCATCATCTTCACCATCACCTTTTAAAATAAATATTTGTTGTATGACATGTTCAGTGGGTTGAAAGAAATATAGAAGTTAAATGGTCAAAATGAGACCATTTCACTTTAGGGATTATTAAAACCACACTTATTTTAGATTTTTAAAAAGACTTCAGTGGATTTTAATATTTAAAACCTCTCTTTTGGGGCTGGGGATGTGGCTCAAGCGGTAGTGTGCTCGCTTGGCATGCGTGGGGCCCGAGTTCTATCCTCAGCACCACATATTAACAAAGATGTTGGGTCTGCCAAAAACTAAAAAAAATAAATAAATAAATGTTAAAAATTCTCTCTCTCTCTCTCTTAAACAAAAACCCCTCTTTTTTGGAGATATAATTTCTTTAACATAAAAATTCACTTTCTTTTTGGTTCTGGAGATTGAACCCAGGGCACTTATCCACTGAGCCACATCCCCAGCCCTTTTTGTATTTTTCAATTTAGAATCAGAGTCTCACTGAGTTTAGGGCCTTGCTAAATTGCTGAGGCTGGCTTTGACCTCCTGCCTCAGCCTCCGGAGCCACTGGCCTGAACTACCACACCCAGCTGGCTCTTTTTTAAAGTGTATGATTCTGTGGTTTCCAGTTCATTCACTTTAAATTAACATCTATAATTCTGGAATATTGTTATCATCCCCAAAAGGAACTCTATATTCATTAGTAGTCACTTTTCATTCCACTCAACCCATGCAACTACTAATCCACTTTCTCTATGGATTTTCCTACTTTGGACATTTCCTATAAATGGAATCATACAATATGTGGCCTTTTGTGTCTGATTTTGATTTATTGTTTTCAAGATTCATTCCTGTTGTAGCATGTATCAATACAATTTTTTTTTAAATGTCAAATAACCACATTTTGCTTCTGCACTAATGGATTCGGGGACATCTGTGTTGTTTTCATTTTTTTAGCTACTATAAATAATGCTGCTAAGATTCTGAGTTTTTGTTTAAACATGTTTCCAGTTCTCTTGGGAGGACTAACAGTGACACTACTGGTTCACATGTTAACTTTTTAGTTTTTGAGTAACTGCCAAACTGTTGTAGGTGAAAACATCATTTTATAGTTCCACCAACAATGTACAAGTTCTTCAATTTCTTCACATCCTAGACACTTTTTATTGCTCTTTTTAACATCCAGCACCCACATCATCAAAATGGAAACAAAATGGAAAGGAAAAGTACAGTTCAATTTCTTCTATGAGAAGAGTAAATATCTAGTTCTTAGGTATTTTGTTTGTCTTTTATGACTCAGGGCAGTCAAAAATGGAATGATCTTTTTCTGTATTCTCATTTAAGATTTCTTTTAAATGAACACAGTTAAAAGTTCATGGTTCTGCTTTCAAAATATCACCTATGAAACTGGTATATGGGAAAGGAGTTTCTGAGGTTGAAGACTGGCTAAACTCAAATCGGCCCCACTCGTCGGAACCTGCTCCTACTGTAATAAATTGCACTCTTTCAGACACGTCTGTAATTTCACACCTGGCAAACTCCACTGTCGTTTCCAACACCCAGTTCGTAAGTCGTGGCCACTCTAGGGACGCCTTGCTTGGGTCTCTCGGCTTGCAGGAGTTAGAGGGTCCCAGAGTCACAATTTTTCACTCGTTCAGCCTGCCTCATCCCACTGATTCCCAAGGGCAGGAACTGAGTCGTATTCACCTCATTCTTTCAGGACCTCAGCCCAGACCCACCCTGCTGGGCACAGAGCAGTGGGCGTTCAGCACGGTTTTTGCGATATAAATGAACAGTCGGGGAAACGCTGGGGCAGTAACGGCTTGGACACATAGGGCAGCGAGTGCCCACACTTTCAGAAGCAACTTCCCGCCCGCCCAGACTCACTTTCCACAACTCCGCCACTCACAGGGCGGCCCCAGCCGACGTTCCCGGGTCCCCGCCCCGCCCTCCTGTGGCTCCAGCACCTTCTCAGAGCTCACCGTCCAACGTCTCGTCTGGGGACACGCGGCCCTGCGCTTCCTGCTGTACCAAGGGACCAAAGAAGTCGGATACCAGCTCCTTCATCTGGGTCACACCCGACAACAGGTTCTGAAGAGAGTCGGCGTCCCCGGTCCCGTCACAGAGTACCCGCAGTCGCTGCTGCTCCCCGTCAGGGCCAACGTACTCTCCTGAAAGCTCCATGGCGACCGCTGAGCTTTAAGAACGCGCCACAGAAAAGCGCCGCCCGGAAGCGGAAACCAGCCCGCGGCCCGCGCGGGCGGGAGCCGCTAGAGGAATGACTTCCGTTTGTCGGAAACTGCTCCTCCCATTTCCTTCGCCTTCCTTCTTTGGGATTGGTTCCTGACACTCAGGCCCCGCCTCCTCCGCTACGCCCCTCGCGGCCGCTTTTCCCGCCTCCGCCAGGGCCGAGCTGGGAGCCCGGGTGACAGTTGAGGATGGCTGGTGCTGAGGGGAACGCTGGACGGCAGTCGGAGCTGGAGCCTGTGGTGTCGCTGGTCGACGTACTTGAGGAGGACGAGGAGCTGGAGAACGAGGCGTGCGCCGTCCTGGGCGGCAGCGACTCCGAGAAGTGCTCCTACTCGCAGGTGGGCTCTCAGCCCGGGCCTCATCTTCTCCCGCGGCTCCGGCTGAACCTTCTCTCTCCGACGGCGTTTTCTCTGCCCCCCCTTGCCGCGGTCGACCCCTCTGCGCTGGTCCGGGCCGCCATTCGTCTTGAGCTTTATAGCCCAGGCTGTCCTTTTATCCTCAGCCTTCCCTGGGCCCCTTTCCTCAGCAGGGCCTTCCTCCTCCCTGTCTTCCCCGTCCGGCTTCGGCGCTCGAGCGGCTGCTCCGTCCTTCCTCTCCAGTCCCTCCTTGCTGGCCTTGGTGCTTGCTCTTCACGAAACCGTACGCACGACCTCTCAAATCCACACATCTTTCTCCTGCTTTTTCCCATCCGTAGAGTGTTGGCTTATTAGGGGTCGAAGGGTAGGATCAAAGTAGAGAGAGCGAATCCTGCGTTTGAAAATCTCCCTGTGTGGGACGGGCTCATTGATTGCACTGCGATAGTTTAAGAGCTTGCTAGTACTTTCTTTTCTTTCTTCCTTTCCTTTTTTTCTTTTTTCGAGAAACAAAGCAAGCACCCTATTCTCTGTCTGCAGTCTCACTTTCCTCCCACTGGAAATAGACCGGAACCAGAAGAGCAGGTGGCCCTAACAAGGGAGGGGAGGGGAGGAGAGAAACGTTTGGAAGATGTTGTGTACAAGAGTTTGAGGGGGTGTGATGTAGTGTTTTTGTGACTCATCCTGTATTTTTAGGTACAAAAAACGAAGAAGGATGAGTAGGAAGAAAACGAACAAGGATTAAAAATTGGTAGGAGAAGGATTATTTAGGCCTGGGTTTAGGGGAACATGGGGGAATGAGGGGAGAGACTTGCAGTTATTTTGTAATATAGACTGAAGTCATAATTTGACAGTTGTCATCATTGGCCAAGTTGAGTTTACACTGTAAATGGCTAGATTGTTGAATACACCTGGTATGCAGAGATAGTCCCAGATGTTGGCTGGTATATAAAATCTTTGGTCACTAATAAAACAACTTTTTCCTTGTTTTTTAATAAAAAAAGGCCCACAATCTATATATAAGCTATTTTTGAAATGTAGTCAGTTTTATCAAATGGACATCCGTAAAATTTTCTTATTGTAGTTAAACATGGATATTTGCATGAATCATATGTATAGATTTTGAAAAAAGTTAACACATGCATGTACCCACCCACCACCCAGAGCAAGAAATAGAATATTACTGGCATCCCAGATCCTGCTTGTATGTCTCCCTTCTTCTTAGAGGAGGGTAACCCTTAGCAAGATTTCCAAAGTTTTGCCGTTTTTCCTTCAGTTTTTTGTTTTGGAACATTTTTTAAGTTATAGATAAGATAAAAGAATAGTACTGTGAACACCTGCATGCCTTTTACATGTATTCACTTTTTAACATTTTATCATGTTTATCTTTCTCATATATATATATATATATATTAATTTTTATTGTTGGTTGTTCAAAACATTACTCCTTTATATATATAATATGCTTCTTTTGAGTCACTTGAAAATCAGCTGCACATGTCGTGACCCGGCACTTCTAAATACTTAAGCATGCATCAAAGGGATTCTTTTCTCTTTGATGGAATTTCACACATTTCCCCCAAATTAAAGTGTGATATTGCATACATAGACCTGCACACCTTTACCTGCATCTTCATATGTTAAAATGATTAAGCAGACCAATTTATTCACAGCTGATTGGAAAACTTCAACTTCTTATCTCTTGAAGATAAAATTGTATGAATACAAAATTAGCATATATGAAATGCGGCAGCATTTTGGAACCCTGTTGTATAAAAATTTTAAGTAGTCTCAGTGTTTTTTACAGGAAGATCTTGACCACAAACATTGCAATTTTAATTATTTCTGAGATCTTAGTATTAATGAACTGTGCTATTTCATTAACTTATTCTCTTCTGTTTTGGGCTGTCTTCTAGGGCTCAGTAAAGAGACAGGCACTTTATGCCTGTAGTACCTGTACTCCAGAGGGAGAAGAACCAGCAGGAATTTGTCTAGCTTGCAGTTATGAATGTCATGGTAGTCATAAACTATTTGAGCTGTACACAAAAAGGTAAACAGAATGCTGAAAGTTTTCTGAGTATTTAGAGATTATTTACCAGATACAGTTTTTCTTAACTTTGCTTTTGCATTCAAAGTAATTCTTCACTGTTGAAATTTAATGTAATGGTTTTACATAAGTGGAAGAGAATGGTTTTTCCATAGGACCTTTAAAATATAATTATGATACGAAATCAAATTACTCATCCTTTTCTGACATTATTGTGTGTGTGTGTGTGTGTGCGCGCGTGTGCACGCCTCACATAAATATTTACCTTTTTCATTTTGTTTTGAGATGAGATATTGCTGTATTTCCAGGGATGGTCCCAAACTCCTTGGCTCTCTCAGTCCTGCCTCAGCCTTCCTAGTAATTGGGACTATACCCAGTTGTCTTTATACATAGTAATTTTAGAATTATAAAACCTTTTATTGTTATATGCTTGGGGAAGTTCCAAATCAGATACATGGACAGCAATCAAGCCATTTTTTAGATCCTAGAAATGAGTTTAAAGGGTTGAAATGAGTCAAAAGGCTACAATTTGAGTTTAAGGAATACTTCATTAGGTCTTAAAAGAAAAATAAAATTTGCTTTTCCTCCTTTTTTCCAGAAATTTTCGTTGCGATTGTGGAAACAGCAAGTTTAAAAATTTGGAATGCAAATTATTTCCTGTAAGTAAGCAACTTAACTACAAATGCATTTAAAGGAACTGAAGTCAATATTTACCAGAGTGGGTAAAAACCAAATGTGTATTTCATTTCTTACTTTGTTGGAAAAAAATAGCCTGTTCAGAGACTATAACATAGACTACAATTGATATAACATTCTGTGGGGAAATTTTTTTTTTTTTTTTTGTGTGTGTGTGTGTGTGTGTGTTGTTGGAAATTGAACCCAAGGCCTTATTCATGCAAAGCAAGCACTCTATCAACTGAGCTATATCCCTAGCCTAAGGGAAATTTTTTATAGTGACTCAGGTTTATTTATTTTCCACATTTTTTATTGGTGCATTATAGTTGTACATATTGGTGGGATTTGTTGTTACATATTTGGACATGCACACAATATAACAATATAATATGGACAATATCATTGCCCTGCATTTCTCCCCTCCTTCCCTGTCTTCCACCCTTTGGTCCCTTTTTGTTTTTAATCTCCCTTTGATTTTTAGGAGATCCACCCCCACCTTTTGTTTTCCCTCTAGCTTGTGCATGTGAAAGAAAACATACCCCTTTAACCTGAGTTTGACTTACACGTTTAACATGGTAGTCTGTAGTTCCATCCATTTTCCTGCAAATGACATAATTTCATTTTTATTTATGGCTGAGTAAAACTCCATTGTGTATGTGTACCATAGTTTCTTTATCTGTTCATCCATTGGTGGTCACCTAGTCTGGTTCCATAGTTTGGCCGTTGTGAATTGTGCTGTATCGTATGTGTATATCACTGTAGTAAGATGGCTTCAATTCCTCAGAGTAAATACTGAGAAGTGAGCCAGTTGAGGTAGTGCATGCCTGTAATCCTGGTGGTTTGGGAGGCTGAAGCAGGAGGATTGCAAGTTCAGAGGCAGCCTTGGCAAAAAAGAGAGGCACTAAGCAACTCTGCAATACCCTATCTCTAAATAAAATAAAAAATAGGGTTGAGGATGTGGCTCACTAGTTGAGTGCCCCTGAGTTTAATCCCCAGTACAAAAATACTGACACATGGTATAGCTGGGTCATATGGTCATGCCATGCTTACTCTTTTGAGACATCCTCATAGTGATTTGCATATTGGTTGTACTAATTTATAGTTCCACCAACAGTGTAAAAGTGTTCCTTTTCTTCTACATCCTCTCCAGCATTTATTATTATTGCATTTATTATTCTTGATGACTGCCATTTTGACTGGTATGGGATGAAATCTCAATGTAGTGTTGATTTGCATTTCCTTAATTGCTAATAATGTTGAACATTTTTTCATATATTGTTAGCCATTTGTATTTCTTTCTTTTTCTTTCTTTCTTTCTTTCTTTTTTTTTTTTTGAGAAGTGTCTGTTTATTTGACAATTTATTAATTGGGTTATTTGATTTTTTTTTTTTTGGTGTAAAGTTTCTTTAGCTCTTTATATATTCTAGATATTAATCCTCTGTCAGAAGAGTACTTGGCAAAGATTTTTCTCCTGTGAGTTTTCACATTTCTGATTATCTCCTTTGCTATATAGAAGCTTTTTTAATTTAATGCTGTCCCATTTATTAACTCTTGGCCTTATTTCCAGAGCTTTAGGGGTCCTTTTGAGAAAGTCATTGCCTGTGACTAAAAGCTGGAGTGTTGACCTTATGTTTTCTTCTAGGAATTGCATAGTTTCTGGTCTAATTCCTAGGTCTTTCATCCATTTTGAGTTGATTTTTATGCAGGTTAAGACGTAAGTGTCTATTTTCATTCTTCTACATATGGATAATCAGTTTTCCCAGCCTCAATTGTTTAAAAGGCTGTCTTTTCTCCATTGTGTGTTTTTGGCACCTTTGTCAAGGATCAGATGACTGTAGATGTGTGGGTTTGCCCTGTGTATTCTCTTCTGTACCATTGGCTGTGTGTCTGTTTCTATGCTATTGTTGTTGCTATTGCAGCTTTTATTGCTATTGCTCTGTAAAATAATTTCAAGTCGGGTATTGTGATGCCTGAGATTTTTTTTGCCTTAAGATTGCTTTGGCTATTCTGGGTCTTTTATTCTTCCACATTTTCTAGTTCTGTGAAGAATGCCATTAGTATTTTTATGAGGATTGCATTGAATTTGTATTTTGCTTTTGGTGGTATGAGCATTTTAACAATGTTAATTCTGCATGTTTGTTTTGTTGGTTATACTTATCCTCTGAGGCTTTTGAAGCAAAGAATATTACTTTTAAACTGAATAAATCAAATGGTAATAATGGGGGCTAGATCCACATAGCACTTTTCACTGAACTTTGGCTAATAAATACTATACTAATATCATAACTTTTAATGAAATAACAGAGGTAAATAAAATATAAGGAATGTGACTTATTCCATCATAATTGCCCAAACTGTCATGTTTTTCACATTCCTTTGTAGGTTAGTTCTAGGCAATTTCTTTGCCTCTTAATATTTTTAGTGTCCAGTGGAGTTTTGATTTTGTTTATTTAGCTGTGATTCTGAGGATTCAAGCCAGGGCTACATACATGCCAGGCAAGCGCTCTACTACTAAGCCACAACCCCAGTCCTCTTTGCCTCTCAGTTAGCTATTGGCTATTCACAACTGTGCTTAAAGAAGTACACTGAAATTCTAGGCCAATGGTGGTTGATAATTAATATTTGTGAATAACTTTTGTCTTCGTTTTATTGAAAACAATTTCCCCAATTGGTACAGAAAGGATAAAAAAAAATTATTTTTTTCCCAGATCTGGGAAATAGTATCTCTAGTAGGACTGAATTTTCTTCAGACTTTGAAAGTTTAAGACTAGCTTCTAGGAGAAAGATATTTAATGCAGAAATTTATCGAATGCATAAATTTTATGATGCATGAAATTATCCTTAAAATTAAGTCATACTGTATACTGAAATTAATATTAATATTATCTTTCAGGACAAAGCAAAGGTAAATTCTTGTAATAAGTACAATGACAACTTTTTTGGATTATACTGCATTTGCAAGAGACCTTATCCTGATCCTGAAGATGAGGTAAGAAAATTGGAGATTAAAACCTGGGATTGTGTCATCTCTAGCCTTAATTCCTTAGCCTTATGTCATATCTGGGGCTCTAGAACCCTGTAGGAGGCATTTTAAGATGCTCAGGGATTCTGATTTACCTGTTTTTAATGAATGTGGATTGGACCTGTAACTGGTACTGCTCTCACATATTATTCTCATTGTTATTATGAAATATTGGAGGGGACTCTCTGAAGTCCAGAACTTATTCCCTTTTCTCCCTTTCCTGCTGGTTGATCCCTTCCCCAACACTTACAGGGAAATGATCTTCAACTTCTTGTCTTCCTTAAAGGAAAGAAATGTGAACAAACTGTATTCCTGTGCTTTTCACCTCCAAGGCATAACCTGTTAACACTTTAGTGTGTGTGTGTGTGTGTGTGTGTGTGTGTGTGTATATATATATATATATACATGTTCAAGTTTTTTTCTGTACATATAAAAGTGTTCAAATGAGTTTGTGTTTCAATGTGCAGTTTCCTTTTAACAAAAGTTAAAAGGAAACTGCACATGCCTATAATCCCAGCAACTTGGGAAGATGAGGCAGAAG